GGGTGGGGTTGAAACTCTTACAATGGGGACAGAAGGGAAACCATGAGTTTCCTAACAGGCCGCAGACGGTAATGGGTCGTGGTCTGGGATTTGGGGACCATAGTCATATAGGATGCAATTAAAGTCTTCTTTTTTTTTTTTTGAGACAGACTCTCGCTTTGTTGCCTGGGCTAGAGTGAGTGAGTGCCGTGGCGTCAGCCTCGCTCACAGCAACCTCAAACTCCTGGGCTCAAGCGATCCTCCTGCCTCAGCCTCCCGAGTAGCTGGGACTACAGGCATGCATCACCATGCTAATTTTTTCTATATATTTTTAGTTGTCCAATTAATTTCTTTGTATTTTTAGTAGAGATGGGGTTTCGCTCTTGCTCAGGCTGGTTTCGAACTCCTGACCTTGAGCGATCCTCCCACCTCGGCCTCCCAGAGTGCTAGGATGACAGGCGTGAGCCACCACGCCCGGCCACAATTAAGGTCTTAAATCAATAGCCGATACGGTTTGGTTTTTACAAGGCTAGGGTACCCAAGTCTGGGAAACAACCAGCAAAGATTGGAGTGCCGCTCTCACCATTGCAACTAACAGTCCCCTGGAATATTGTTGTTTACTTTCCCTGTGACCTTGGGTTGGTGGGTTTGGGGATTCTACTGCCAAAGAGAAGAACTCTCTCTTTGGTGAATTCTGGAAGTTGACACTGTCCTGTGGCCATTGTGGGATTCCTTGAACCACTGAACCGAAAGGCACTGAAGGGGGTCCGCGTAGCAGGGGATTTTCCTGGTCACCAGGAGGGAGTTGGGTTGGTGCATCACGATGAGGACACACAGGGTTTTGTTTGGAATTTAGGGAGTGTATTATACCAGCTTCATTTCTTACTGCTGTGCTTCCCCGAAAATAAGACCTCCCCATATGATAAGCCCCAGCAGGATTTCTAAGCATGTGCCCAATAGAAGACCTACCCCGAAAATCAGCCCTAGTGATGGGTGTGGCTATGAAAATCAGCCCTAGTGATGGGCGTGGCTATGGAAATCAGCGCTAGTGATGGGCGTGGCTATGAAAATCAGCCCTAGTGATGGGCATGGCTATGAAAATCAGCGCTAGTGATGGGTGTGGCTATGAAAATCAGCGCTAGTGATGGGCATGGCTATGAAAATCAGCCCTAGTGATGGGTGTGGCTATGAAAATCAGCGCTAGTGATGGGCATG